GTGGGGTCAGGACTTCATCTTAGGCAGGTCTTTTAATCATTTCAGAGCAAGGAACTGATGCAAGTCCTTTACATCTCAATCTCTTGCCTTCATCAATCTGGCATCCATCCTCCCAAGGACTCAGCAGGCTGACCTCCATGGAAACCCAGAACAGAGCTTTTTGTTGCATCACTTCACTCAAGTGAACACCAAGGACGAGATCTTTTCCATTCTATTTGTGGATTCACACTTATCCAACCATTTCTGTCTCACTCTAGCACAAGACAATCCATTTGCAATGTAATATTTTTTCTGTTATCAGATCTAAGTTTGGGAGAAGTAAGTTTAAAAGAAAAGACACAGAGTAAAGAAAGCTTTCCTGGTTAGAATTTTGGTCAATGCAATATAAAGATTATCATTTACAGCAGGTGGCAGCTATGTAAAAAAAATGATGGTATCAATGTAAAATGGATAAAATAAAGACAATATTTTCACAAGCTTTCCCCAATGGCTTTAAAATAAGGTCACTTTGATACTGCAGGAAAGAGCTTGGTATCAGCCTCCTGCTCTACAGTTTGACAAGCTGGGCTTGACCATTTGTATTAAATGAGACTCTCTATTTTTAATATAGAATTTCCCTCCCACTTTTGAAACAATGACAATTGAAACACAACACACGCACATTTAAAAGTTTGGCTGTAATTCTCCCCCTCCCACCCCTCAGCTCCCAGGAATACACAAATATTTCCATATGCAATCACATTCCACATAGTTAAAGTGTGCATTCTTGGAAAATGACACCAGAAGCTACATTTTACTCTATTAAAAAAAAAAAATCAACACTGAATTGTTACTGGTAACATAGATATGTATCTAATTTGAAGACATTGTCAAAGTCTGTCATATATATCAAAAGCTCTCACTGTTATTTAAGGAAAAAAAAAATAAAATGGAAAATAAATATTTCTTATACTTTTTTCTCCACAAAAATAAGTACACCAGCAAACTTCACACAGAGAATTCTGCTCCTTTTTGTCTTAAAGGGAACCTATTTCTCAAGTGAATTGCCTTCCCTACCTTATTACTTGAAGAGATTACAGTCAGGGCTGTACATTGCAGCCACCCTGTATTTAGAAGCTGGGTAATAAACCACATAAATAGCACACTGAATAAAACATTAAGACATAAAAGGAGTTAAATAGAACAAAGGGCTAAAGCTTATTGTGCAGTAACCATGCCTGACCCGTGGAAATACAGAAAACTCATAATTCTAGTTAGCAAAATGCAGAGTTGGGGTTTAAATCAGGAGGAAGCCGGTGGTGGGTGAGTGCTGGAGCCCCTTGCACAGCCTTGCAGGGCCCTCTGGTGGAAACAGGAATCCATCTCACGGCTGCCCAGCAGCACTGCCAGGGAAAAGGATGCTCCAGCCCCAAAATAAAGGGAGAAAAAACAGCATGGGTTTTCCCAGTTTTCTTAAAAGCAGCAATATTTCTAATATAAAGCACATTTTTCAGCTCTCCTTTAAGGAGATTAAATCCTGGAGCCTGTGTAAGTAAGGAATTTTTCCTCTGACTCCAGTGGGAGCAGAGTCTGTCTATGAAGCCCTGAAAGTAGAGAAAAGAAGTCCTTAAAGCTGTGAAAAACAGCAGTAATGTGGAACATTCTGCCCAAAAATTTAGACCCTTCAGCAAAGCTGGAAGCATTGCAGGTGAGCATCACCACATAAATCAGTCTCCAAAAAGCCAGGTAATTCATTAATTCATGGCAGAAACTGCTCAGCTGGCTGTGCCAGCTCGGGGTCTGCAGGGCCAGCCCTTACACAAGCTGACCTGACAAAATGTCTTTTCAATGCTTCTTCATTTGTGGCTTTGAGCAGTGAGGTGGAAACAAACTTTTCTGGTTCTAAATGTATGTTTCTTCATCCAGAACAGCATGGAATTGATCATTATATTGGTATTAGGTACTCAAAAAGCCTGAAATACTGCCCATTTTCAAAAAAAAAAAAAAAAAAAAAGTAAAATTGATGCTTCCCTTAGTTATTGTCAGGGCAAAAGAGAAATTCTTCAGAAAGGCATTCACAGCAACAAAATCAGATTAATATTCTCATGTTTCTTCTCCACACAGGTATACATGGGGCTGCTAAAATAATCTGCACAAGCAGCATCTTTAATGATCTAATGGTGATGAGAAGGAAAATTCCTCCTCTGCCTTTTGCCTCTGTCAGTCAGGGCAATCACTGTTCCAATGAAAAACAGGCTGCAGTCTCCAAGCTGATTTCAAGACCCAAACTGCTCCAAAGCAAGGCAGGATTGAGCATCTCTCCTCTGACAGGTATTTCAGGGGATATTTGTGGTGAATATTTCACAGAGCAAAAGAAAGAACCAGGTCTGTCTTACACTTCATTCCAGGGAAGAGCCTCCATTGTCAAAGGGATTTCTCAATGCCATTCTCTCCCACTTTTCAGGAGCAGGATGGCTGTTGGATCAACGAGATCCAGTCTCTGTCCCAGCCTGAATAGGGCACACAGCTGCCAAATGTGATTTTTTCAGGCACCATCTAGCATGACCTAGGTCAATAATTGTCTTTTCCCAGATTAGGCTCCTTCAAAATGGCAGCATTTTGAAAAGAAGAAGTCGATTCCCACTTTTCATCCTAAATTCTCTTGTCTGCTCCTAGTTAACAAAGTTTCTTAGCTGTAGTGAGCACACACTTATTTAAAGGTGCTGATGATGTCAAGTAAATAATTTGAAACACACTGATTGTCAGGAGCAGACACAACCTGTTCTCAAAAACCAGCTCCTCTCAAAGCATCCCAGGTTGGGCTCCTGATGCCTCCCAGCTGAGCAGTACCTGCTGGACCTGAAGGACAAATCCTTTGCTGAACCCAAGCCTTGGATTCATCCCTCTAACGTGCTTCAGGACATTTTACTTTGAAAAATGGGAATGCTGCCTATCGACTGCAAAAATTTTATCTCAATTGCTATCCAAGAACATGCTAATTTGTATGAAATAAATGAGGCTAATTATTTGCTTTCCACAAAACAGGCTCTGCTAAAAGCTCTGAATTATTTGTTTTCCTGATGAACAAGGCAGCACCTTGCTCACATAATAGATTCCATCAGAGATTTGATTATCCATTAGAAGGGCAATCTATGCGTTGTGTCAGGCAGCAAAGATAAGATGGGGCTGGGAAATGCAGGGCCCTTGAGAACAGATCCCTAAATTCTCTGTGGTGCCAAGAGTCAGATTTAGGGAGCTGGAGAATCAGAAATGGGATCACTGCTTCATCTACCACATGGAATCAAAGAGGGATGGGGGTCACTTCAGCGTGCAAAGGAGGGAAACTCACACTTGGGGAAGAACAGGACACCACAGTCTAAAAAGGTGCATGAAGGCTCCAGCTTCAAGGGGGTCCATCTGAAAAACAGCTCCACAGCTGGACCAAGCTATTGATGAGGAGCAGAACCTTCTTTTAGCTCACCAGAGAAATCACAGCACACAAACATACTTAAGGTCAAGCAACTTGATTGTGTTTGTGGTACCTCTTTGACAAGGTGGAAGGAATTCCATGTGTCTGTTTATGGTATGCTGTCAAGCATTCTGAAATTTATGTAAAAAATATTGTCATGATTCCCATAATACACTGTGTTCATCATACAAACCCACAACACAAGATCACTGCTGCCTTATTACAGGTATTTCCCTTAGGTACACAAGCAAAGTGCATCTTGGAAGGACAAAAATAACATTTCTTCTGACATGACCACTCCCCACATGACAAAAGCTGCTCTTCTCCAGGTTTGTCTGCAGAGTCAGCTCTGGAATGCTCTGCTATTAACTTGTGACTGTGCACAGACCTCCCTTCCTCATGGAAAGGATGTAACTAATTCCCAGAGCAGCAACATGGGTCATCCTCCACCACTGCATGCACTGGAGTCACTCCTCAGGCTTTTGCCTCTCCATGCAGTTATTCTCCACAAACTGTGGCTGTGTTTTACAGCAACCAGAGTGCTGCCCAGCCAGGGAAAGCAGAGCTGGTGATGGGGGAAGGCAAGGAGGAGGTTTTGTAGCTCTCAGAGACACAGCAGCTACGTGCAGGTCAGCCAGTCCTGCCTGCCAGTTCTGGAGATATTTTGGTGAGCACAGGAGGAGCCTTCAGCTCCTGTCCAGACAGCCACTGGAAGCAGCCAGGAAAGAGATCAATAGTTTGTCTCTCCTGGAGGATGGAGCCTCTACCAAATGCATCCTCACCTCCCAGCCCTGGGGCGAGTGGATGCTAACATTAGACCTGGACCATTTTATTCAGGACTTGCACAGATACCTTCACTGCTACATCTCCATCTCTTTCTGCTCTCAAGCTGATGCCTGCAAGATCCTACCAGAGATGTTGCCACAAAAATCCAGGCTGGAAGTCAATCCAGCTTGTTCTGAGCTTTTTCTGGCATTTATAATATGATAACCCATCCTGCCTGGTAGGTATTTCCCTACTACAATAGTCCATCCCTTAAAAGCAAGATCTTTGTTTTCCTCATTATGCCAGTTTGGAAAAGGAGGAACGTATCAGAGGCTGATCTAAGCACAGATCAGAATTTGTGTCAGTCACTGGGAGAACTGGCTAACATGAGTCTGAGGGCTTCGATTTATTGCCCACCACCGCTGTAAAGTCAGTTGATAACAACAGGATTAAGAGGGTGAAGATAAAGATACATTTCAGAATGTTTTTGGATAAGGATAAAGCAAAATGACACAAACAAATGCCAAAGACCTAGCAGTCATGAAGTCACTCCAAAAACCTCCTGGCGAGCTTCAGAGCATAAATAACTAGAGAAAAGCCATGAAAATTTACAATAACTCTTCTTTTTTTTTCTTCCTTGGTGGTGGTGTATTTTTAACCTATTGCACTGATTATAACATGCTGTCAACAGCCTCATCAATTATCCATTGCTAGAAAGTGGGCTCTAACATGCTGCAAGTGGTATTAATTGGTCTCAGTAGCGCATAATGAGTTTAAAAGCTCCTACCTGTGTGCCCCCGGGGATGGTGACTAGAGGCGGACAACAATTTACAGCAGACCATTAACACATAGAGCAGAAAGAGCCAGTCAGACAGAAGCATTGATTTGGCACAGAATCTCATCCTGGAGGCAGAAAAGGAAGCAGTTGAGTGAAAGAACAATGCAAGTAGGGAATAACATAAAAACGATGCGGGGAAGGAAAAGCTGAAGGGATGCTGAAGAATAACTGATGTGGGTTATTGCAAGGCAACACTCACAAAATCATATTCATTACTTGGTTGGGATCAATTCTTTGTTAAGGACATTTTATAATTAGAAGCAATGTCTATCACACATCACATTACCTACAAACACATGTTTATAATAACACATTATGAGTGCCATGCAGTTGTATTAATCTGAGATAAGGGATGGGTTCTTTTGTCTTTTATCAAGATCCAGCCAGATTCAAAGTTAAACACACACATTTATGAGTTGTGCTACTATTTTTGAACTGGACCTCCCCCAATGACAGAAAAAAAAGTCATTTTTACTTAACACTTCTCAAGACATATTAACTAAATAAATATATCATATAATAATTTACTGTACTATAATGTATAATTTACTGTAGCCTTGCACAGTTCTAGGCTGGATCTCCCCAACACACAATATTTGGGAGATTTCCTGGAGATCACCCAAATATTTACTGAGGGTAAAGCCCTCATGAAGCAGCACCTCAGTCAAACATGCAAGGACTCACTTCTCTATGTTGGAAACTGCATTTCAGAAAATATTTGCTCTAAAGAAGGTGTTGTTACTCTTATTCATGTTATTCTTAGAACTGAGATCCCAAGTCCTCCATCATTTTTCTGCAAATATCTTGAATTAAATCCCTCAATAGCTTATGTTATGCCATTCATCATACAGAAAGGGAATCTAATCATCTTTTTAAACTGAGTTATGATGATTTATTTCTTGCATGATACATAAATGGGCGTTATGTACTTGAACCCTTAGATACTGTGTTCCACAATTTCAGCAAATTCTGCAAGCAGGAATACATCAAATTAATTAAAGGCAATTTATAGATTTGCATAAATTGAAGCAAATACTGTTTTCATGGCAGTGACGTTAGTCTGCAGCTAATCAGCATGCTGGGATTTGGGCAAGCCTAGCACGAATTTATTTGCACCAAAAAGTCCTTTGGGAGCTGCTTTTCCTCTGCAGATTCCAATTCTGAGTCTTTTCTAAAACAAAATTATCTGTATATCTTGAAAATACCTAAGACTACTCAGCTAGTCCAATGTTCAAGTGCTGAATTTAAAAAAAGAAATCTCAAGCAACACATGCCTTAGACAGCTCTATTGTCACAACCAGGTGACACACTTGGATGTTGTTTAAATTTGATAAACATCTACCAATGAAACCACAACAGAGGCCTTGTTTTCTCTCTTAAAATTGCTCACACAATTTCCCTTTTCAAGCTTTGCAGAACAATATTTTTTCTCTAATTGCAAATGTTGATAAAGCCAAAAAAAAAAATGGACTTATTAATATCAAAAGTTAAGAGACCAGAAGCCTGCTGCATGTAAATATATTTTAGTAACAAGTTCTGGTTTACACTGCAGATAGAAATACATTGGTGCAAACCCCAGCACCATCAGCCTCCAATTAAAAAAAAATTACATAAATATTGCAAATAAACCAGCTCACCATGTCTACAGATTTCAGAGAATGAAAATTATATGTAAAGCCACACTTTAAGCAGGGATTTGGCAAGAGAGTACCTTTTCTGGCTTTAGGAAGATGCTCTGTTTTGAGCCCAATATATTTCCACACTGAATGCAGGAACAAACACCCTGCTGGCCTTTTACAGCTGTTTGTAGGAGATTTCTGTGAGCACGAATCAAGCCCAGCAGATAAAGACATCACTGCTCCTCACCCACCCTGTAAGTGCCCTCTCCTGGAGCACTCCCAGGCTAATTCAGAGCAGCTGAACCAAATTCACCCCTTGCATGCAGCTGAACCCATAATGTCACTGCAGCTAATGGGATTGAGTCACTGTGAAACCAGCATAAATGTCACTATTGCTCTTGGTCCAGTATTAGCCTAAGAAAACTGCCTGGTAAGTTCTAAAATCACTGTACCATTTCAGATTTTGGTCATTCAAATCTTTCCCAGGTGACTGAACCCTTTTTTTTTTTTTTTCCTTTAGGAGAGAGCTGAATTTAACCTTAGTTTTCAAAACACACGGGTTACAGCTCATGAACAGGATGTCATCATCTGCTCAGCCTCCAACCCCATCCTTCTGTTGCTCTAAATGCAAATACTCAGATCTGATCCAAGTTCTGGTGTCACTCTTATGTGTCACCATGAAGACACAAACCTTCCTCCAGCTTTCCTGTGGAATTAAACACCCCTTAAACACTGCTCAGGCATTCTGAACATGCCATTTCTGCTGGGAGGTGGTGGAAGGGGCAGGTGTGATGATGGACAGGTCCCAAATCATGCATCATATGCTCAACAGCCTCTGTTCCAGCACTTTATTGGACCCAGGTGTTCCCACCACTCCCAGTGCAGCAGCAAAACTGGTCTCAGTGGAAATAGAATTGTACTATTTCCAAAAGTTTTCTCCAGCTTAGTTTGACTCTTTTGAGACACTAAACAAGGAATGTGAAACCAGGGCTCATCAGGTTAACAGGGTAACCTCAGCCCTGAGTAAGAACATTCAATTCCAGGAAGAAGTGTATCACCACAAAGCATCCACTCGCTCATACCCAAACTGAAAGGCTGCTAAAAGCATCCAGTGCCATCCAAAGGACACATCTGCAGGATTTAGTCTGCCTTGCAGGTAGGCAGGACACAGGTTTTCAGCCTGCTAATGTAAAGAAATACAAGAGGATCTTTGAAAAGGCAGGGAAAAAATGAAATTTGGCAGGCAGATGCAGCAAGGGGTGCTGAGCCCTTCAGCGTCAGTGGGCTGCTGCTTTCAGAAATGTCAAGCCTTCATTCTCTATTGGATTCAAGTGGATATTGTTGCTAACCAGAACAGAGAATCTTCAGTGTCATTTGAAAGATAAAAAGTGCTCTTACCTTGGGGACTTTGCAAGAATTTTGTTCCAGTCAAACACAATTATTTCAGTGTGTTTTTCATAGTTATTCCAGATTCCCATTTGCAGCAGCAAATAAGCCTTTCTGCATCTCAGAATGTTTTCCTTCACTTCGGGGACCTAGAAAGAAAGCCACATTACACTGCAATTAAGGTCTGCAAAGGTGCTGTAAAACACATCTTTGTTACCAAAATCTTAGTTTCACAGTGCCATCTACAGTGCAATCCGGGGCAAAAGGCAGCAGGTTTATTTCTCTTGTCTTTCTGAGAGCACAGAGAAGCTGTGGTGAGGCAGCTCTGGGGTGTCACTACATTAACCAAAGGCAGAGTTTGCTGTACATGGGTTGCAAACAGAATGTGAGCAGCTCTCTGGGGTCTCTCCACCCAACACCCAAGAGTTTGAAGCAGAGATTATTAAAAATAGTGAGGAAAATCTGTCACTGTCTTCATAAAAACTTGGCCCAGGCCCTGTGCCTTCCTCAGCAGAGAGCGTCACACCCACAGCAGAGTGTCTGGGGTTATGTATTATTGCACCCTCTGACCCTGCTGCCTCTCCTGGCAAGCTCTAAAATCAGTGTACCATTTCAGGTTTTGGTCATCCAAATCTTTCCCAGGTGACTGAACCTTTTTTTTTTTTTAACCTTAGTTTTCTTGGCCTCTCCATGAGAAACACACAGGTTACAGCATCAGCTGTAACCCAGGACTTACACTTTGAATCTCCACGTGGAAGCACTTTCACAGCAGCTCTGACACATGCTCTGCAGAATGAGGAGCTCAAACACTCCATTTTATAGACACTGAGGCCTCTTTGCTTTTGCTGTTTATATTTGCTCTCCCACTTCCATCCCTGGGCACAACTTGACCTTCTGCTACTGAAAACATGACACAGAGCAATTTCTGAGAGTAATAATAATGTGGTCTTCACCTAGACAGCAATCACAACCTTTTCTTGTCTTACCCACCATTCTTTTCATTTCACTCATCCTTTGATCAATTAGAAATTTGCTTTTAAGAAACACAAAATTACAGCACCACACTGGAGGGCAGAGCTGTCTGGGGTCATAAAAGCACACAAAACTCCTTTCAGAGCTCAGGGCAGGAAAGCCCCTGCTCAACACACTCATGGAATCACAGAACCTTCCAATCACAGGTTGGAAGGGACCTTAAAGCTCATCTTGTTCCAAACCATGGGCAAGGACGCCTTCCATTGGACCAGGCTCAAAGCCCCATCCAACCTGGCCCTAACAACTCTTATTTGTTTAGAATGCCATGAGAAAATAGAGTAATTGCTGGAATTGTAGAGGTGCCAGGCCAGCAATCTATAATTAATCACATTTTGCTCTCTTTGCTTTCCAATGTGGAGTTCCAACCTGAGCCAAAACCAGCATGTCTATCAAATCAGTGGATATCAAAACAAAATGTAGGCAAAGAGTTGTCTTAAGAAAAAGCACTACCATCCTGCATTCATCCTTTCTTCCACAAATACACATAAAATAAAAAAATAAAAATAAAACAAGAGTGTGCCTCAAAAGGCCTATTAAAAGAAGCAAACAAACAGGATTTTCAATACAGCACTGACTGACTGAAATGGTTATGTGGTACATTTTTACCCATTTCATAATAGGACAGGTAGATAAATACACTCTTACAGTGCTCTTGAAGAAATCAATACTGCAGTACAGTATAACTTGGGTTTTAGTGCTTATCTGTTCCATAATTTTTATTAGAGAGGAAAATAAAACCCCGTGCAGATGCAGCTGCAGGTAAATACAAACATCAGTGGAACCTGCTCTGTAAACACATGTTAAACACTGGTAAAAGGCAAGGGAGTATTGATTAGTCCAACTCATCCTAATTAAGTGGATGCACGGAAAGTGACAGATGATACCTCCACCTGCATATCTCCAGGCTTTCTGATGCCTTCCAGGCAGAGACATTTCTTTAAAAAATAGAGTTGTATTAGGGGAGATTAAGGCAAACTCCTGAAACCAGCTTCAGCTGGTTTATGTCAATAAAGGAGACAGATCCGAACAGAAACAAGAGGCTCACCTGGTTAAGAGCTGCAAAAGGAATTCCAGGCTTTCGATGGCAGAAGCATGCTTTGTGTGTGCTCTGTGAGCACTGGGTTTAGCTGCTGGTCCTGTCTTGTCCCAGGGTGACACATTACTCTGGAAAACAGAGCTGCTTGTTTGTTTTTATACAGTGAGCTCTGCCCAGTGAGCAGCTGAACCCACCTCCATCTCCAGAAAAGATACAGAAAAGAAGGAAGAGGGAATTGGAGAGAAGAAGGGCTCAATTTTGAGTATTTATGCATGGGCCGGCCATGAGCAACTCCTGCTCTGCAAAGGAGTTCCCCAGAGGCTACACCCCTCCCCTGGGTCAGTATTTAGGGCAAATGAAGATTGTGGGATCTGGGATCTGGAGGGAATTGCAATGGTCAGGGCTGCTGCACAATCTGCTCCCTGTGCCTCTGCACTTGAGTAAAATGGGTATAAACAGCATTTCCCTGTGCCCGGGAAGAGTTTCAAGAACAGAAACAATAAAGGTCTAAAGTTATTTGAAAACTGTATAGGCACTGTATAATTCCTTTGACAGGTGGAATAAGATAACACTTTAAATTAGGTACATTTCCTACCAATATTTACATGTTGTAAAATACTTTTTATGGCTACTTTCTGCAAAGAATAAATTACCAAACCATTTTGTGCCATCTTTTATAATAAGCTATTAAATAATTTAGAAAACCTCCTTTCATTAAATATTTAAAAGGCCTTAATTTCTCCATTCTGAATAATTCCTCACTTAAAATACAACTGTGCATCTCTTAAAGTCTCCTCTTCTGTAAAGCAAGGGGTGAGAAGGAAAGAAATTTGGGGGCCATGTACTGTTTCAGGGGATTTGCCAGCCTGACTTTAACCCCAATGTCAGCCTGGCCAAACTCTTATCTCATACAGAATAAAGGACAAAGGGAAAATAGAGCAATATCTGACATTTCTTAGAGGGGGGGGGGGAAAGTACAGCAAGTACACTGTGTGTATTTGAAAACTGCTGCTGTTGAGGGGAGCTAGAGACAAAAGAGAGAGCTAAAGCAAACACCTACACACTGGCTGACCAACCCAGAACACGTTTTCTAAATCACTACACACAGGGTAAATATTCAGTGACAGTACTAGAAGGGGGTGTATAAAAAAGAGGAAGAGCAACTTTTTACACAAGCAAGTGTGAAAAGGGGGATGGTTTTAAATGAAAAGATGAGAGATTTATATTAGATGTTATATAAAAGTTTTTCCTGTGAGGGTGGGGAGGCCCTGGCACAGGCTGCCCAGGGCTGCTGTGGCTGCCCCATCCCTGGGCCTGTCCCAGGCCAGGTTGGACAGGACTCAGAGTAACCTGGGACAGTGGAAGGTGTCCCTGCCCACGACAGGGGGTGGAATGGGATGGGCTTTGAGGTCCCTTCCAACCCAAACCATCCTTGGCTGTGTCTGATGCTGCCCCATGGCCTGGTGCAGCTCCAGGGCTGCAGGTGAGCGATGTCGGGTGCAGGGGTCACTGTGACTGTCCCTGTCAGGATACAGGTGAACAATGGCCCTGCAGGGGTGCAGGCGAGTGACATCCCTGTCACGATACAGGTAATGATGTCCCTGTTGGGACACAGGTGACTGATGTCACTGTCAGGACACAGATCACTGTCCCTGTCATGGTACAGGTAGTGATGTCCTGTCAGGATACAGGTCAATGTTGAGACACAGGTCACTGTCCCTGTCACAACACAGGTCACTGATGTCCTGTCAGGACACAGGACACTAAGTTCCCTGCCACAACACAGGTCACTGATGTCCTGTCAGAACACAGATCACTGTACTTGTCACGATACAGGTCACCGATCTCCCTGTCAGGACACGGGACACTGATGTCCTGTCCGGATACAGGTCATTGTCATGACACAAGTCACTGATGTCCCTGTCAGGACACTGATGTCCTGTCGGGACACAGGTCATTGTCACCACACGGGTCACTGATGTCCTGTCACGACACAGGTCCCTGTCACGACCCGGGTCTCCGCTGTCCCTCCCGCGGTGCCGGGGCCGCTCCCGGCGCTTCCCGAGGATCCATCGGGGCGGTGCTGCCCCCTGGCGGCCGCGCGCCTCTCTGCATGCGGCCCCGGCCGCGCTCGGCAATCTCCGCCAGGCCCGCTCCCTGTCCCGGGCCAGCCCCGCTCCCAGCCCCGCTCCCTGCCCCGGGCCAGGCCCGCTCCCAGCCCCGCTCCCTGCCCCGGGCCAGCCCCGCTCCCTGCCCCGGGCCAGGCCCGCTCCCAGCCCCGTTCCCTGTCCCGCCGGAGCCCCCGGCCAAGGCCAGCCCTGGCTCCGTGCAGCCCCGCTCCCCTGCGCTCCGCAGCTGTCCGGCACAATTAGCGCCCCACATTAACCACACGAACGCGTCGCTGCCGCAGGGTCCGGGCGCTGAGCTGCCCTCGGAGCCTGGGCACGGCAGGGACACGCTGGCCTTCACACCACAGGGACAGCCCTGTCCTCGGTGCCTATCGGGCCTGGCAGTGGGTGGATACAGGGAATAACGCGGCTCGCATTCTGCATTTGGTCCCTTAACCCTCACCCAGAAATCTCCACATCAGCTCACGCAACTGCAGCTTGCTCTGAAGGCTTTGAGGGTCAGTAAATCCACCTCCGGTGAGTAATTCCAACAGTTAATTAACCTCACCGTAAGCACTGCACCTTCAGCTCGTACTTCCCGGTACATTCCTGTTGTTTTCCCAGCTGGCACATCCCACCAGGGTGTGTCAGGACTTCAAAGGCCTCGTTCTGCCAATCCTTACTCACAGCAAGTAAGGGTTACACCAGGTAGGAGGGCACTGAGCAAACTGAGAGAGGATTTAAAGTTACCCATGGAGTACAAACACAGAACAACAGAATCACAGAACTTATTGGGTTGGATGGGACCTCAAAGTCCATCCTATTCCACCCCCCATCATGGGCAGGGACACCTTTCACTATCCCAGGTGGCTCCAAGCCCCATCCAACCTGGCCTTGGACACTTCCAGGGCTGGGG